GCTGGTTGCTAGAAAGGTGTTGTATTAGTTGTGTGCGTGTCTGCATGTTGTGCAAATATTGAATTGTGAATGCAGTAGGCTTGTTGTGTCATGTTTTATTTTTAGTGTTTATATTCTATTAATTATATTGACGTACAGTGTTGTGTTGATCGTAGTCATTATATGAGTATTATGTCGTGTACGTATATTGTAGGTATTCTGGGTTTGTTTTTGTTTGTTCTGCTTATATTCATACATAATGTTGCATTGGGTGAAATAATTATATTCTGATATATAATTGTATTGATATATATGAGTATAATCATTCTGTGAATGCTGTAATGGATCCATGTTTTGTACAGTACTGTACATGTGCTGTGCTTTGTTTCGTTGTACTGTGTCCTATTGATTATCTTAAATATGTTGGTAATTTATTACCAGCATAAATATAAGAAAAAGAAAACACGGAACAAACTTAAAAAAACCAACAAAAATTAAAAATTATACTCCTTCTACATATCGTCATAAATTGAATTCTAGAAAACAATGCCAATTCTTAATATTTTAAAGTAAAATTTACAGACATACAGACTCCAAAACACATAAAATTATAAATTTATTACTTTTATCATCTTTAATTTTCATCATACAGTTTTTACATAAAAAACAAACACAAAAGTATACCAAAAAAAAAGTATATAAAAAAAGAAAAAGACGAATAAGGGTTTATATCGATTAGAAACGAGACAAAAACAGACAAATATTAATAAAACTATAAAAACTTTTATAGAAGGGGATTTACGATTTTGCCAATTCTGCAGAAAGTTGTAACAGTAACCTTTTGCAGAGAATAAATCTTTAAGATGACATCAGCACTTCCTGTGTTGTTTCTATTAAAAGATTTGTGCAATTTCAAAACTTTTGTGTTTAATTTAACAGATTTTCTAACAATCGAAACAAAAGTTTTCAAGTTAATTTGTAATACAACAAACCATTGGAATTAAATTTAAAAGCTAAAATCAATTACAATTTCAAGGACGATCCGTTACAATTTCATGCACGAATGAACTGCATTCGACGCGTTTTGAACTAAATAAAACAAGGAAAAAATAAATAAATAAATAAAATTATATGCGGTTATAATTGCAAATAAGAGAGAAAAAAGAAACAACAATAATTTAATGAATTTATATAATTTTGTTAGAAACATCTAAAGTAATCATTTCTTTATTTTCGTTAAATCAGTTATGACATGTAACATTCGTTACATTTTCTTTTATATAAAAAATAATTCGGGATAAATTTTTATGAGAAAAATATTGAATTTTTAATGTTTTTATACGTATTTATCTTTGTTTTTTTATTTGTTATTTTATGTTTCCGAATTACTTCCTTATATTTTTCTATATCATATATTTATTGTTCCTATCTTTTATGAGCTTATAAATTAAAAAAGAATAAAAAATAAAATTAAAAAATAATGAAACAAAACTAAGGAATATAATAAACTTATAAAACGGAGATTATAGCGAAAAGCTGAGATGCTAAATAGTTTTAAGCTTATCTACCTTGAATCATTCTCTATAAAGGCAGAGGAAACCTTATAAACTGTTAGATTCAACAGATTAGTTTATAAAACAGTGAGATTTAAAATAAATAAGGTTAAGACGAATAAAAATTTAATAAAAATAACTTTATGAAATAGTAATGTTAGATAAGCTTATGAAACAAAAGAGATGTCACAGAAAAGTAGAGATGCTAGAAAGATAAATTATGAAAGAGAGAGAGAGAGAGAGACTCTAGGCAGTTAAGTTTATAAAACTGAGATTCAATAGATTTCTTTATAAAACAGCGAGATTTAATATAAGTAAACTTATGAATCAGAGTGATTCAATAAAGACGGATAAAATAATGAAACAGAGAGACCGAAATAAAATAAGCATATGAAACAAGAAAATTTAAGAATGATGATCCATAAACTTAACTTATTTTCATATCTCTATTTTATAAAATCGTCTCATCTAACATTTTATCGGAAAAAAAAGAATTGGATAGCTGGGACATAAAACAAGTTATAACTACTTTTGGCTAATTTGGATAAAAGCGTACGTAAATGCATGTTTTTCAATTAAGTAGACAAACGAGGTATGATATGTTACTATTTAGGTAATAAATTTTATATTAATGAAAGACAAAACGTCACTTAATTTTTTAAACAGTAATGATAGTTTGGATTTAATTTATTTTGCATGGGAAATGGGACATACAGAGTAACTTGTTTTAATTTGTTAACATAGATTCAACTTACTTTGAAGGAATGACGACTTTTTCATACTATAATCTAGTAAAATTATAATGAAAAACATAATTTAAAGATAAACTCAATAAAATTTGCTACCATTTTCTGATGTTTCAGGCTTTTTGTTATTAATTTAACTTTTTAAAGACGTTAATAATGTTGGAATTCAATATAATAATGTTGGATTCAAACCAGGCCAAAGATTCGTTAATTAAAAATAATTATTTCAAAATAAAATAAAATGACACAAGGAAAAAATATCCGTCTTGGAATTGTTTGCGTTTGAAAAACTTTTCGTTGTCTTTTCATTGTCAATCTCGAAAGTGGAATTTTTGATCCAAAATCTCAAAATAGTGGTCTCAAAAATCCGTTTAAAATGCTTCGAAAACTGATTCCTTCCTCGGTACAATTGCAGTCAGAAATATCATCTTTCACGTCATTGTGGTGTCCACACCTGAGATCGGTATAATACTTCAGGGTCGGATTTTTTAAATTATATGCAAATTTCAGTTTTAGGTTAAATTCACGACTCGTCTGCATATTCGCAATTTCTTACTGACACAGGTTTCACCAAAAGTTTGCTCGTGTGATTTTTGTTCTAGCAAGTGATCCCGTGTCACATCGCGCCGCGGGAACCGAATGAAAATGTAACATTAAGAAACTGTCGTGTTAACTTTTATGAACAAATAAACTTTTTATGGGCAAAAAAGTTTACATCAAAATGTCAATGCATCATCTTTTCTCAATTCCCGACATTCAAACTATGATGCTTATTTGTGCTGATAAGGTTGGTTCTAAGAGCATTCTACTTCAGAAGAATAGCTATATTTTTTTTTCTTTCTTTCTTTTCTCGTTTACTTTTGATTTTAATTTTTTCTTTTTTAGTTCTTTTATTTCCATTTTCGACAGAAATAGTTTCTAAACCCTTTTCTGTTTTTTTTTCTTTCTCTCCATTCTCTTCTAGCTCCTCTCACTCTCATCTCTTCTAGCTCCTCTTTCTCTTTTTTTTCACTCAACATGGGCTCAACTATGAATATTGTGTCTCTCACTTTGCGCATGTTCTATATGAGCAATGCTACTGGCTATTTGGATATATGTAACTTATTTTGCGTGCAATCTCTTGAGTTAAACTTACGTAAGGTTCAAAGCTGCATTCATAAATTACTTAATAAATATAATGTAATAAACTCATAAATTTTAATAAACAAGTAAATAAACTTTTATTTTTTAGAAATAAATTCTAAAACAACAAACAATTAAATTTTTCTAAATTAACAAAAAAGTACTGACCACAATGAATTGTAGCCATAAATTCATTTTACAAGTTCATTAAATGCAATTTGTAAAATTTAGATCTTACATTAAAAACTTTTATAAATTTTCAATTATTTATACAAATAAAAAAATTATTAAAATTGCTAAATAATTTTTATTAAAAAAGAAAAAAGAAATAGAGGAAGGATGTTTCCATGAAAATGATATGTGTATAAAATGTTGAGATCAGGTATTTTTGGGGAGTATTTTAAAGTAAATATTTGACAGGTCAAACAAACCACGGAAGTAAAGTATACTGTGTATATCTATCTAAATAACCAAGTGAATTGCTTAGCTAACGTACTACTGTATAAATAATAAATGTTTTTTTTTAGATTTTTTCACATATTATCACAAAAAAAATTATTAACTAAACATCCATTAAAGCAACTGTTAAAAAATGAATTTCATTTATTATAAACATAAAAAAAATAAATATCTTTAAAATATAAAAAGTTGAGGCTTATAGAGGAGTTTTTGATAAAAAAAATTTTATCAGAAATTTATAATTATCATTTATTAAAAGTTTCTATTAAGTCTGTAAGTATTTAGTTTATTTTGAAATTTTAATACAGGTATTTACTTGTAATTATGTGGTATGATTTTCAAAAACTTTCAGCTTATTGTTTTAAAACTTATCTCAATTTTTCAATCTACTTTAGTTGATGCATTAAAATTTTATGAAATAGAGCTCGCGAGCCACAGATTGATAAAAGTCGTTTATTCTTAGATTAATTTAAAACATAAATAAATTTTCTTAATTATTGTAAATTGTAAAATGTATAAAGATTTTAATGAAATATTTTAATTTAATATAGATTTAAATTATTTAAAATTAATTTCATACATTTTAAAAATACTTAATTAATCAAAGTTACTTTTCAACCTGTTTTAATTGATATATTAAAAATTTATGACAATGGAGTTTGTAAACTACAGGTTTATATTTAAATGAAATATTTTATATTATTTTTTATAATTACAATTAATTCTATATTATTAGTATTTTGTATAATTAGTAAATTTANTTATATGTAACATTATTAAAATTATCGATTTTCAACTACCAAATTACTTTTTCTACAGTGATAAAATTCCGTTTCGTTTTAAAATCATTTTATGTTTTCAATTAAAACTAGTAAATTTAAATAAATAAATAAATAAATATATATATATAAAATAATTAATAAAATAACTAAAATAAGTTCTTGTGTATACATTTAATATACGTGGGTATTAACTAAAAATAGCATCAGAGGGAGGGTAAACTAAACGTTAATTCCTATAAATATTGTAGTAAAGGAACATTATTTCTAATTATTAAGCATTAATAAAGGATTATATATTATAAAATAAGCAAGTAAAGTACAAACTAGTAACATAGTGTATGAAATAACGAGATTCTTACATGTAATCTGTTTGACTTTTGTTAGACGGTCCATCTGGCCACACCAAATAACATATGTTACGTGAATCTCCATTTAAATATCCATCTTCTTCAATTGTAGAATATAGTAAATTAGGTAAAGAAAGTAAGCTACTACATATCCAAATTCCAATAGTTATATTAATAGTTGTTAATTTTGACATTCTAGGTTTCAATGGATGCATAATGGCCACGTACCTGTTAAAAATAATAATTTATAAATATTTCACGATAAAAAAAATTTATAAGTTATAAATATTTTTAATTTAGAATTCTTAAGACTGAACTGTACTTTATACTCAATAGGTTATTATGTTTAATATGATTTTCTACATTTAGATACCATTAAACTATTCCATGTAATTCACTTTCTTTCATTCTTGTTGCCAGCCACGATAGAAATTCTTAACAAAGATGTCACCCAAGAGGTACTGTAATGCATTGACCTAGAACTCTCTGAAAACTACTTTTATTCTTGTAGTCTCCAAATGGCACCCATGAGCTATTTTTGTGATCTTTTCTGTGTTCATTTAGGATTAAGACTTTTAGCCCTATAGGTTTATACAAAACGAAGAAGAAAAAGAAGAAGACAAAGAATAAAAAACACTCCAAAGACCACCTGAGTATTAAAAGTAATGTCAAAATTTTTAATATAAACTCTTGTTTTAAAGATATTATCAGAAATGTCTTCTAAGAAACGTTATATTTGTGTATATGTAACTTTTTATTTTAAAAATTTGGTTAAAAATAATTATTTTATATAAAATTATCAAATTTAGTTTACGTTCTTTTAACTCTTTTGTTGTATAGATACAGTACTGTACCATCAAAACTTTCTCATACAAACACTATTTTCGTGTATATGAAATGATATATTTTAAAGATTCGAATTAATAGTAATTATTTTACACAAATTTAACAAATTTAGTTTACATTGTACACATTTAGATTACGTTCATTCATGTTTAACTTTTAACTAGTTATTAACAATCGAATTGTTTCGTGCTTAGTTAAAATCTTATATTAGTTCATAATGGGATTANTTGTTAGACGGTCCATCTGGCCACACCAAATAACATATGTTACGTGAATCTCCATTTAAATATCCATCTTCTTCAATTGTAGAATATAGTAAATTAGGTAAAGAAAGTAAGCTACTACATATCCAAATTCCAATAGTTATATTAATAGTTGTTAATTTTGACATTCTAGGTTTCAATGGATGCATAATGGCCACGTACCTGTTAAAAATAATAATTTATAAATATTTCACGATAAAAAAAATTTATAAGTTATAAATATTTTTAAAATAAAATAAAATTTTTAACATACTTAAAGCATTTTCATATAGTAACACCTCGAGTATAAACATTAATAAATATATAAATAATAGAAATATTTCGAATATTATTATTTATCCTAAATATTATAATAATAACATATTTAAAAAGTTATAAAAATATAATATTTTAAACTGTTTTTTAATAGTTTTTTTTCATATTTTTATTGAAATGTTTGAAGTTTTAAAGTTGTATTTCCCATCATTTTATTATAAATTATGTGATAAGGGGGGATAGTAAACTACGTCTACATAAGTTAAGGTGGTAGATACTGAATGTCAACATCCGGGTTTTCCATTTTCCTAGGTTTTGTGTACACAGTAAGAATCTGAAAAGGAGTATATGTTAATGTTGCTATTCCCTCAGGCAATTATTGGAATATCAGTATATAAAGAAATTTATATCATTGGATTCTAAGTTATAGGTTAAATTTATATTATAAAAGAATAAAAACATAAAAAAGAGAATTTATTTTCACATAAATTATGTTTATAAGTTAACAAATTGATTTTTTCTCCTTTCTTTTTCAAATGATGGTTTCATACGTTTCTATATAAATGTATTACATTTAATAATTAGCCTTAAGGAATATTTTGGAAAAATAATATTTTTTTGAATATATATATTATTGTTATTATTTATTATTAAGAAGTACAAAAGATAAAACAATATTCAAAATTGTTTGAAGAATATTAAGTTTAAATTTGAAATTTTATATATTTATATAAAAAACTAAAACTACTTTAAAATAAATTGATTTTTCTAATTAGAATGATTAATTTGTAATTAATATATTCTTCGTAAATATAAAAAGATTTTAATATGCATTTTAAAATATTAAAATGAGAAAAAATCATTATATAAATTAACCGTGTTTTATTTTTAATTGATGTTTTCTATATAAAAATATACAGAGTGGTCTAAAAGTCAGTTACTATTGACTAATTTTTTTTATTTTGCTTTATTTTTAAATACTTTAAATCATATTTTAAATCGTGTTTTCAACATTGTTGTAAAAGAAAAAAAAAACATGTTCACTCAGTTTACGATTTATATTTCACAAGCGTACTTGAAACACAAAACAAAGCGTGGTTAATTGACTTTTGGTACACGTATATAAATTTACTTATAAAAATATGCAAATATGAATTTAATGAAAGTTTTTATTGAAGTTATATAAGCTTCTACAAGATGCTCCACAAGTCAATTAACCGTATTTTATTTAGTGTATTGTAGGCATGCTTTACATAAAATCGTAAACCACATTTAGGACATGTTTATAAATTATAAAGTTACCAAACAAAGTATGAAGTTAACTGACTTTTGGGTCATCCTGTACGTTTTAAATTGTAACTAAATGCGTTATTTTTATTAAAATCGTTCTTTTTCTTATTTCTTTTTTTTTAATTTTTTTGGAATTTCTAAAAAAATCTAATTACGAAAAATGTTGGTGAACAAGTTATAATAATTGAAACAAAAAGAAAAAAAAATACAATTGTATTTTTAAAAATTATATAGTTTGGTATGTTTTAATACTATTTTTGTTATTATTTTTAAAACAATTTTATAAAAAAAAATCATATAACAAAAATCAATTTAACTCGCTTATATATATATTTTTTTTTGATGAAAAATTCTACTATTGACATTCAATTGTATTTTATCTATATTTTTATTTATTTATTTCGTCAATATCGTGATTTACGAATTAAAAAGAAATATATATGTATAATTAAATCGTCTTTTCACTTTTTCACTTTTAACATTATAATTACAATATTGAATTAAATATTTAATTATAAACAAAAAATATTTAAGAAAATTCAAAATCTGTTTATATTGTATTAATAGTTCACAATTGGATCATATTACTTTTATCTCTAAAAATATTAACTTGTAAGAGATGTTTTTAGATGCTTAAGAGTCATTACATTATTATATTATACGTATTTTACTTGCGCACCTAAAAGTAGCTATCGTAAAACATTATTTTAGATATCAGAACTTCTTGACATATATAAAAAACCTTTTACAAGGTATACATTATTATATTCTTACGCGTATTTTAAAGCGTTTAAATATTACATACTAAAAAAAATTATGTAAGAGATTTTTAGGTGAGCAATATCTAAAATATTTATGTTAAAAACTTCTTATAAGAAGCTTTTTAGATGTATAAATGTCATTATTACTTGTATGTTAAATTAAACTATTTAAATATTATACACTTAAAAAAGTCAAGGCTGTTTAGAATTCTTGGCATCTAAAAAATATTGTAAACGTTTTTTTTTTAATGTGAAAAGTTCTAAAATCTATGAATTATAACACATAATGTAACACAACAACATTACGCGTTATATGAGTAAGAGGTATTACATTACCACATGCCAAATTACTATACTTATTTTAAATCATTGACATGATGCACAACTAAAAATTATATCTGAAAAATCTAAAAAATATCAAAAAATGTATTTAAAATATCTTTAAAAAATTTAGATATGTGCAGTATCTAAAATCACGTCTAAGCAATTTTTACAAGAGGTGATTTTTTAGACGTGTANTAAGAAACGTTATATTTGTGTATATGTAACTTTTTATTTTAAAAATTTGGTTAAAAATAATTATTTTATATAAAATTATCAAATTTAGTTTACGTTCTTTTAACTCTTTTGTTGTATAGATACAGTACTGTACCATCAAAACTTTCTCATACAAACACTATTTTCGTGTATATGAAATGATATATTTTAAAGATTCGAATTAATAGTAATTATTTTACACAAATTTAACAAATTTAGTTTACATTGTACACATTTAGATTACGTTCATTCATGTTTAACTTTTAACTAGTTATTAACAATCGAATTGTTTCGTGCTTAATTAAAATCTTATATTAGTTCATAATGGGATTAATAAATGCTTTACAATTGGGTTGATAATGTTATGGAATGCGTAATGAGTCGTGATGGAGCTTAAATAATTTACAAGGTGCCAATGATATAATTCAATGAATGGATGTACAAAAGGTGTTGTTTCTGTTTATTACATTAAAGAAAGATACTTAACATTAAATATTTTCACACTGAATCTAATGATAAAAGTCAACTTTGATGAAAATTTAACTGTTTAAGAGGGTCTACACGAATTGCCTCTTCTCTTATCTTGTGCCTCACAATACGCTTTGTCACATTTAATTCCGAAATTTTTAGTTATAATTGACTTCACCAAGAGATTTACTAGGATTATAAGAATGAGAATTATTTAAGGGAAACAAATAAACTGTATTATACTTTCTGCTATTGACAGTTTCATATATGTATCGAGTAGACGAACAAAAATCAAAATTTATCTCTGTCAATAACAGAAAAATCTTCNTAAAAAAATGCTTTAAATAGTTGTAAATTTGTAATATTTCTAACAAGAATAAATTTATAGTTTATCGAACAAACAAATTTGGAATTTGTTGAAATATATTTATTTTTCCTTAGTAAAAAATATAAAATATGTCATTATATTTTAGGATAAAATAAAAAGTAAAAGAACACAAGTTTTTCTTATCTTCGTGTACTTTTTTAGCTGCATTCAACAATTTTCCAAATAGAAAGAATGGATAAACATAAACTTTAAACAGTTTGATGCATAGAAAAAAGAAGTTTTATTCGATTTACTTTCTATTTATTCTTTATAAACCTTTACTTTTTCACACTTCATATTTTTTTCTTCTTTACCTGATTGGTTTAGAGATACTTTATTCTTTTATTTATGTTTCTATAAGTTGTGTGTATATGTATAAATGTAAATCAATTTTTTTCCTCAATATCCCATCATTGTGAAGAATTAGTAATTCTAATAAAG